TTCACTAAATATTACCCTGCTCACACTCCAACAGATTGTCAGGTCCCAAGTATCATTCGCCTCCATTCACTCCTATCTAACATGCTCATGCACGCTTGCTGGAAGTCCAAGCCCCTCGCCCACAAAACCTCCTTTACCCCCTCTTTCCAACCCTTTCGAGGACGGCCCCTACCCCTCCTTCCTTCCCCTATAGATTTATATGCTTTCCATGTCATTCTACTTTGATTCATTCTCTCTAAATGACCAAACCACCTCAACAACCCCTCTTCTGCCCTCTGACTAATGCTTTTATTAACTCCACACCTTCTCCTAATTTCCACACTCCGAATTTTCTGCATAATATTTACACCACACATTGCCCTTAGACAGGACATCTCCACTGCCTCCAACCGTCTCCTCGCTGCTGCATTTACCACCCAAGCTTCACATCCATATAAGTGTGTTGGTACTACTATACTTTCATACATTCCCTTCTTTGCCTCCATAGATAACGTTTTTTGACTCCACATATACCTCAACGCACCACTCGCCTTTTTTCCCTCATCAATTCTATGATTAACCTCATCCTTCATAAATCCATCCGCCGACACGTCAACTCCCAAGTATCTGAAAACATTCACTTCTTCCATACTCCTCCTCCCCAATTTGATATCCAATTTTTCTTTATCTAAATCATTTGATACCCTCATCACCTTACTCTTTTCTATGTTCACTTTCAACTTCCTACCTTTACACACATTCTCAAACTCATCCACTAACCTTTGCAATTTTTCTTTAGAATCTCCCATAAGCACAGTATCATCAGCAAAAAGTAACTGTGTCAATATAATACATATATATATATATAATATATTATATATATATATATATATATATATATATATATATATATATATATATATTAGTAGTAGGTTGGTAGACAGCAACCGCCCAGGGAGGTACTACCATCCTGCCAAGTGAGTGTAAAACGAAAGCCTGTAATTGTTTTACATGATGGTAGGATTACTGGTGTCTTTTGTCTGTCTCATAAATATGCAAGATTACAGGTAAGTCTTGCTACTTCTACTTACACTTAGGTCACACTACACATACATGTACAAGCATATATATACACACCCCTCTGGGTTTTCTTCTATTTTCTTTCTAATTCTTGTTCTTGTTTATTTCCTCTTATCTCCATGGGGAAGTGGAACAGAATTCTTCCTCTGTAAGCCATGCGCGTCGTAAGAGGCGACTAAAATGCCGGGAGCAAGGGGCTAGTAACCCCTTCTCCTGTATATATTACTAAATTTAAAAGGAGAAACTTCAGTTTTTTCTTTTGGGCCACCCTGCCTCAGTGGGATACGGCTGGTACGTTGAAAGAAGAAGATATATATATATATATATACACACATGTATATATACAGTGGACCCCCGGTTAACGATATTTTTTCATTCCAGAAGCATGTTCAGGTGCCAGTACTGACCGAATTTGTTCCCATAAGGAATATTGTGAAGTAGATTAGTCCATTTCAGACCCCCAAACATACACGTACAAACGCACTTGCATAAATACACTTATATAATTGGTTGCATTGGGAGGTGATCGTTAAGCGGGGGTCCACTAATATATATAATATATATATATATATAAATATATATATATATATATATATATATATATATATATATATATATATATATATATATATATATATATATATATATATATATATAATTTGTAGGTAGTAGGTAGCAACCACCCAGGGAGGTACTACCGTCCTGCCAAGCGAGTGTAAAACAGAAACCTGTAATTGTTTTACATGATGGTAGGATTGATGATGTCTTTTTTCTGTCTCATAAACATGCAAGATTTCAGGTACGCCTTGCTACTTCTATTTACACTTAGGTCACACTACACATACATGTACAAGCATATACATACACACACCACTCTGGGTTTTCTTCTGTTTTCTTTCTAGTTCTTTTTTATTTCCTCTTGCCTCCATGGGGAAGTGGAACAGAATTCTTCCTCCATAAGCCATGCATGTTGTAAGAGGCAACTAAAATGCAGGGATCAAAGGGCTAGTAACCCCTTTTCCTGTATATATTACTAAATGTAAAAGGAGAAACTTTTGTTTTTCCTTTTGGGCCACCCAACCTTGGTGGGATATGGCCGGTGTGTTGAAAGTTAGAAATATCCACACTCATGGGCTAGATCATTAAGACTGACTAATGGTTCACTAAACACAGGCACATTGTGACTTCAGTATTTAACTGTTTGTTCCATCTTATAAGTGACCATTACTACATGTGATTTTTGTATGAGAGTATTTGGGGGTTTCTTCCTATTTCATTTATGACTATGGTCTCTCGGACCCTGTGTGTCACATTGAGTTCAGTGTTCTCCATCACATTTATGAATCAATCACCTACTCTCATAGGCAGACTCAACTTTGCCAGTTTAGAACATACATGGTACTGTACTGTAAATTAATAGCTGTATAGCCCTTGTGGCTTAGCGCTTCTTTTTGATTATAATAATAATGTAAATTAATAGTACATTCACCAAAAACTACTAAACCCATTATACAGCACTATAAATAAAAGTATATTTAGGATTTATATCATGTAAAAAAATATAAACTTCAAAAAACATGTCATCACTTTATTAATTACAATAATATAAAGTCAAAGAATTATTTACAACTGGGTAAAATCCTTACAAGCCTGTACATAATCAAATGTACAAAGGAAGTAGATAAAAATAGATTAGCTAATAAGAAAGTTTTTACTTTTGTAATAAAAAAAAAATATGAAAGTATCATGGATTTGGTGAAGGAAACTACAATAAGAAACTAAAACCAACTGTTGCATGTTACAAAATGAGAAATGAAAATTCATGTAAACATTTCTTTGGTTGCTGTATAAATATTAATCTTTAAACTATCCACCATATATGGATATTTCTTAATTATTAAATAACATTAAAACATTGAGTGATGAGAAAAATAATACAAAATATACAAATAAAATTTATAAAATTAACACTTTCCTACACTTCATCACACAGACTGGACAGTTTAAGCTCAAGAAAATTACCTCGTACATCGCTTTTAATAGAGTTGGCAAGATAATTTTAAAACAGTAGGCCTGAATCTATTATAAAGGGGAGATAATGCTAAACTCTTAGGGATCATATAGAGCCTGGGAAAAGGGAAGCAGTCAGGTTTGGTCTGAGGAAGAGAAGAAGTCCAGTGATGCCTTCCTAAACAAAATGAGTCATCTCGTCTCTTAAAAAGTGGTTATCAATACTTGGAATTCTGAGACACGGTATTTTGAGTATTGCTGAAGGAAAACAGCACATGCATACTGAAGAGCAGTAACATTACTATGTCACATCATATAAAAACACACGAATATACATAGTATGAGATCTGAGCATCATCTGCAGCTTAAGTGCGAGTGGTCAAGATAATGAATTTTGGAAATTACCAAGGGCTTGTACTATAGTATTGAAATATGCTAACTCACAATGGCAGACTTGTTGGTCACAACGCATATGAACAGGCTATGTAGAAAGAAATTGTAAATATACAAAGAAAATGGGTCATATTTTTGTATCCTCTTAGAGGCATTTACATGCATGCTTAGGGTATGAGAATGTACAGTTTACTTAAAACTTTAAATATCTGTAGCAATCATTTCAAATTCCATAAAGAAAATGTGGCAATTTCATTAAATGAATGTTTTTATGAAAATTTGCTATTTTAAAGGAACTTAATACACATGGTTGATAGTGCTATTCTGAATATCACATTTTTTTTTTAATTTAGGAAGAATAATTCTTTGTCCTTAAAAACAGCATTAACAATTTGAAATTGGATATTTTGTTCCTAGACCTCTTTTCCTAATGAAATAACATAAGTTGCAAGACTAATGAATATATTCTTTGGGCCACAGTAAAAGTTGAGTCACTGCAACAATGTCATGTGCATTATATAATTTTAGAAATTGCATAAACTTTTAGTGTACACTGCAGATATCATAGGTAGAATATAGATACCATAATTTTTTTTAAATTTGTGCAACCATTCATACTCATAAAATACATATATACACATGCATGCACACACACATTATATAATATATATATATATATATATATATATAATATATATATATATATATATATATATATATATATATATATATATATATATATAATATATATATATTTATATTTATTTTACACACAAACTAGTTTATACACTTCTTGCCATTCACTCTAGCTGAACAAGGAATGTTCACCTAGTCATAAAATCACAACAATCTCCTTATACACAAGTCAAATACATACAGATATTTACACAAATACACAAGATCTTTGTAAATTATTGGCATACATATTGGAGATTTACAGTAGCTAACGTATGCCATAAACTTTAGTCCTTACACTATTCACAAATTATGTACAACAAATTTCACAAGCTTGCAAAAAATCACCAGCAAGGCCTTAGATGATTATGAAGCAAAGTTTACCTTTTTCAAGATGAAGACACACTGGCATACAAATTCATTTATTTTTTCTAGATATTCACTAATTTTATTATATATATATATATATATATATATATATATATATATATAACACACCTCAAACAAATGTTTATAACTAAATGGATCAGATTCTAATCCATGACAATCCAGCCCTAAAACAAGCAATCTAAAGGCTCTAACCACTGTATCATGCCAATCAGCAAGGTGTAATGATTAAAGCACCTGGCTTACTAATTTTAATATTAGCTTGCCATGGGTTTGAATCCTGTCAGGTCTGAGTTGTTTACTATTATGTTATGATTTTCCATGTCATAAATGTTTATTCTAATGAAAATGCAACTTATTCATCTCCAATGTCTGTCACATATATTTATCACTTAAGTGTTTCACATTATGAGGCAAAGTGTCCATAAGCACTGCCATAATTCTTTAATATTTCTTAAAGTTTTTAGATTTATAGCTGGAAAATACTGACCATTCAACAATTCTATTCATGTCCACTAAATATTCACATGCACAGTGTGCCCCATTACCCACGATTATCGACTGCTGTTCTTCTGAATATTCTTCTTTCTCTTTGCCAACATATCATAAAAGGGATTGTGGCTTATACTTTGTCTGAAAAAAAGAAAAAAGTTTTATGTATTATTACAAACAAATCTATAAATATATATATATATATATATATATGCACGTGTGCACAGTCATATGTTTACATTGCAATTATAGGTTGTTTAAACTTGTGTACTGCTATATAGCAAATCACTCAAATAATCCACACTTTGAAAGAAATTTGACATTTTGGCCTCTTCTGAACCATTATTAAGTCACAACTGTGGCTTGAGAATGTCAGTGGGATAATTATTAGATTACCCACCTACTTGCATAAAATGAGGGACACAGATTCCGAAATCCCCTACTGTTACCCAACACTAGGTATTTAAAAATAAAGATACCTGGAGGGTGCTCTCTCCCAACTTTACATATGGGACAACACAGTATATTTTCTTCAATCAGGAGGTAAAGCATTAAACCTATAAGCCATGTAATGCCTGGGGAAGCATTTAGGTTTGATCAAAGGAAAAGGATCAAGTTATTTAGTGAAAGGATTCAGGGAAACCCGTTATTATTATACAGCCGGACCCGAGTCCTGGAAATGGGAAGTAGTACAATGCCCGCACTTTAAAGGAGGGGTTTGGGATATTGGCAGTTTGGAGGGATATGTTGTGTATCTTCATATGTGTATGCTTCTAAACTGTTCCATTCTGAGCACCTCTGCAAAAACAGTGATTATGTGCGAGTGAGGTGAAACTGTTGAATGATGATGAAAGTATTTTCTTTCTTTGTGGGTCACCCTGCCTCGGTGGGAGACGGCCAACTTGTTGAAAAAAAAAAAAAATTATATATATATATATATATATATATATTATATATATGACAGGGTGGATAGGGGGGCAATGTGGCAGATGTTGCAAGTGTATGGTGTAGGAGGTAGGTTACTGAAAGCAGTGAAGAGTTTTTACGAGGATAGTGAGGCTCAAGTTAGAGTATGTAGGAAAGAGGGAAATTTTTTCCCAGTAAAAGTAGGCCTTAGACAAGGATGTGTGATGTCACCGTGGTTGTTTAATATATTTATAGATGGGGTTGTAAGAGAAGTAAATGCGAGGGTCTTGGCAAGAGGCGTGGAGTTAAAAGATAAAGAATCACACACAAAGTGGGAGTTGTCACAGCTGCTCTTTGCTGATGACACTGTGCTCTTGGGAGATTCTGAAGAGAAGCTGCAGAGATTGGTGGATGAATTTGGTAGGGTGTGCAAAAGAAGAAAATTAAAGGTGAATACAGGAAAGAGTAAGGTTATGAGGATAACAAAAAGATTAGGTGATGAAAGATTGAATATCAGATTGGAGGGAGAGAGTATGGAGGAGGTGAACGTATTCAGATATTTGGGAGTGGACGTGTCAGCGGATGGGTCTATGAAAGATGAGGGGAATCATAGCATTGATGAGGGAAAAAGAGTGAGTGGTGCACTTAGGAGTCTGTGGAGACAAAGAACTTTGTCCTTGGAGGCAAAGAGGGGAATGTATGAGAGTATAGTTTTACCAACGCTCTATATGGGTGTGAAGCGTGGGTGATGAATGTTGCAGCGAGGAGAAGGCTGGAGGCAGTGGAGATGTCATGTCTGAGGGCAATGTGTGGTGTGAATATAATGCAGAGAATTCGTAGTTTGGAAGTTAGGAGGAGGTGCGGGATTACCAAAACTGTTGTCCAGAGGCTGAGGAAGGGTTGTTGAGGTGGTTCGGACATGTAGAGAGAATGGAGCGAAACAGAATGACTTCAAGAGTGTATCAGTCTGTAGTGGAAGGAAGGCGGGGTAGGGGTCGGCCTAGAAGGGTTGGAGGGAGGGGGTAAAGGAGGTTTTGTGTGCGAGGGGCTTGGACTTCCAGCAGGCATGCGTGAGCGTGTTTGATAGGAGTGAATGGAGACAAATGGTTTTTAATACTTGACGTGCTGTTGGAGTGTGAGCAAAGTAACATTTATGAAGGGATTCAGGGAAACCGGCAGGCCGGACTTGAGTCCTGGAGATGGGAAGTACAGTGCCTGCACTCTGAAGGAGGGGTGTTAATGTTGCAGTTTAAAAACTGTAGTGTAAAGCACCCTTCTGGCAAGACAGTGATGGAGCGAATGATGGTGAAAGTTTTTCTTTTTCGGGCCACCCTGCCTTGGTGGGAATCGGCCAGTGTGATAATACATAATAAAAATAAATAAATATATATATATATATCTTTCTTTCTTTCAACACACCGGCCGTATCCCACCGAGGCGGGGTGGCCCAAAAGGAAAAACGAAAGTTTCTCCTTTTACATTTAGTAATATATACAGGAGAAGAGGTTACTAGCCCCTTGCTCCCGGCATTTTAGTTGCCTCTTACAACACGCATGGCTTACGGAGGAAGAATTCTGTTCCACTTCCCCATGGAGAATATATATATATATATATATATATATATATATATATATATATTATATATATATATATATTATATATATATGTAGTAGGTTGGTAGACAGCAACCACCCAGGGAGGTACTACCGTCCTGCCAAGTGAGTGTAAAACGAAGCCTGTGATTGTTTTACATGATGGTAGGATTGCTGATGTCTTTTGTCTGTCTCATAAATATGCAAGATTACAGGCATGTCTTGCTACTTCTACTTACACTTAGGTCACACTACACATACATGTACACATTTATTTATACACACTCATCTGAGTTTTCTTTGATTTTATCTTAATAGTTCTTGGTCTTATTAATTTTCCTTTTATATCCATGGGAAGTGGAATAAGAATCTTTCCTCCGTAAGCCATGCGTGTTGTAAAAGTCAACTAAAATCCCGGGGAACAATGGGCTAGTAACCCCTTTTCCTGTAAAGATTACTAAAAGAATAAGAAGAAAATTGTCAAAGTGGGAAGTCTGAATGTGTGTGGATGTTGTGCAGATGATAAGAAAGAGATGATTGTGGACGTTATGAATGAGAAGAAGCTGGATGTCCTGGCTTTAAGTGAAACAAAGCTGAAGGGGGTGGGAGAGTTTCAGTGGAGAGGAATAAATGGGATTAGGTCAGGGGTTTCAAATAGAGTTAGAGCTAAAGAAGGAGTAGCAATAATGTTGAAGGATAAGCTATGGCAGGAAAAGAGGGACTATAAATGTATTAATTCAAGGATTATGTGGAGTAAAATAAAGATTGGATGTGAAAAAGTGGGTTATAATAAGCGTGTATGCACCTGGAGAAGAGAGAAGTGTAGAGGAGAGAGAGAGATTTTGGGAAATGTTGAGTGAATGCATGGGGAGTTTTGAATCAAGTGTGAGAGTAATGGTGGTTGGGGATTTCAATGCTAAAGTGGGTAAAAATGTTATGGAAGGAGTAGTAGGTAAATTTGGGGTGCCAGGGGTAAATGTAAATGGGGAGCCTTTAATTGAGCTATGTGTAGAAAGAAATTTGGTAAAAAGTAATACATATTTTATGAAAAAGAGGATAAATAAATATACAAGTATGATGTAGCACGTAATTTAAAGTAGTTTATTAGATTATGTATTGGTGGATAAAAGGTTGATGGGTAGGCTCCAGGATGTACATGTTTATAGAGGGGCAACTGATATATCAGATCATTATTTAGTTGTAGCTACAGTTAGAGTAAGAGGTAGATGGGAAAGAGGAAGGTTGGTAACAACAAGTAAGAGGGAGGTGAAAGTGTATAGACTAAGGAGGAGGAAGTTCGGGTGAGATATAAGCGACTATTGGCAGAAAGGTGGGCTAGTGCAAAGATGAGTTTGGGGGGGGGGGGGGGTTGAAGAGGGTTGGAATAGTTTTAAAAATGAAATATTAGAATGTGGGGCAGAAATTTTGTGGTTATAGGAGGGTGGGGGCAGGAGGAAAGAGGAGTGATTGGTGGAATGATGAAGTAAAGGGTGTGATAAAAAAAGAAAAAGGTAGCTTACGAGAGGTTTTTCCCAAAGCAGAAGTGTTATAAGAAGAGCAGAGTATATGGAGAGTAAAAGAAAGGTGAAGACAGTGGTGAGAGAGTGCAAAAGGAGAGCAGATGAAAGAGGGGAGTGGCACTGTCAAGAAATTTTAATGAAAATAAGAAAAAATTTTGGGTGATTTAAAACAAGTTAAGAAAGCCTAGGGAAAGTATGGATTTGTCTGTTAAAAACAGAGTAGGGGAGTTAGTAGATGGGGAGAGGGGTATTAGGTAGATGGCGAGAATATTTTGAGGAACTTTTAAATGTTGAGGAAGAAAGGGAGGCAGTAATTCATGCACTGGCCCCGGGGGTATACCCCTCTTTTAGGAGTGAAGAAGAGCAGAATGTAAGTGTGGTGGAGGTACGTGAGGCATTACGTAGAATGAAAGGGGGTTAAAGCACCTGGAACTGATGGGATCATGACAGAAAAGTTAAAAGCAGGGGGGGGGGTATTTGTGTTTTGGAGTGGTTGGTACTTTTGTTTAATAAAGGTATGAAAGAGGGGAAGGTACCTAGGGATTGGCGGAGAGCATGTATAGTCCCTTTATACAAAGGGAAAGGGGACAATAGAGATTGTAAAAATTATAGAGGAATAAGTTTACTGAGTATACCAAGAAAAGTATACGGTAGGGTTATAATTGAAAGAATTAGAGATAAGACAGAATGTAGAATTGCGGATGAGCAAGGAGGCTTCCGAGTGGGTAGGGGATGTGTAGATCAATTGTTTACATTGAAGCATATATGTGAACAGTATTTAGATAAAGGTAGGGAAGTTTTTGTTGAATTTATGGATTTAGAAAAGGCATATGATAGAGTGGATAGAGGAGCAATGTGGCAGATGTTGCAAGTTTATGGAATAGGTGGTAAGTTACTAAATGCTGTAAAGAGCTTTTATGAGGATAGTGAGGCTCAGGTTAGGGTGTGTAGAAGAGAGGGAGAATACTTCCCGGTAAAAGTAGGTCTTAGACAGGGATGTGTAATGTCACCATGGTTGTTTAATATATTTATAGATGGGGTTGTAAAAAGAAGTAAATGCTAGGGGTGTTCGGGAGAGGGGTGGGATTAAATTAGGGGAATCAAATTCAAAATGGGAATTGACACAGTTACTTTTTGCAGATGATACTGTGCTTATGGGAGATTCTAAAGAAAAATTGCAAAGGTTAGTGGATGAGTTTGAGAATGTGTGTAAAGGTAGAAAGTTGAAAGTGAACATAGAAAAGAGTAAGGTGATGAGGGTATCAAATGATTTAGATAAAGAAAAATTGGATATCAAATTGGGGAGGAGGAGTATGGAAGAAGTGAATGTTTTCAGATACTTGGGAGTTGACGTGTCGGCGGATGGATTTATGAAGGATGAGGTTTCATCATAGAATTGATGAGGGAAAAAAGGTGAGTGGTGCGTTGAGGTATATGTGGAGTCAAAAAACGTTATCTATGGAGGGAAAGAAGGGAATGTATGAAAGTATAGTAGTACCAACACTCTTATATGGATGTGAAGCTTGGGTGGTAAATGCATCAGCGAGGAGACGGTTGGAGGCAGTGGAGATGTCCTGTCTAAGGGCAATGTGTGGTGTAAATATTATGCAGAAAATTCAGAGTGTGGAAATTAGGAGAAGGTGTGGAGTTAATAAAAGCATTAGTCAGAGGGCAGAAGAGGGGTTGTTGAGGTGGTTTGGTCATTTAGAGAGAATGGATCCAAGTAGAATGACATGGAAAGCATATAAATCTATAGGGGAAGGAAAGAGGGGTAGGGGTCGTCCTCGAAAGGGTTGGAAAGAGGGGGTAAAGGAGGTTTTGTGGGCGAGGGGCTTGGACTTCCAGCAAGTGTGCATGAGCGTGTTAGATAGGAGTGAATGGAGACTAATGATACTTGGGACCTGACGATCTGTTGGAGTGTGAGCAGGGTAATATTTAGTGAAGGGATTCAGGGAAACCGGTTATTTTCATATAGTCGGACTTGAGTCCTGGAAATTGGAAGTACAATGCCTGCACTTTAAAGGAGTGGTTTGGGATATTGGCAGTTTGGAGGGATATGTTGTGTATCTTTATACGTATATGCTTCTAAACTGTTGTATTCTGGGCACCTCTGCAAAAGCAGTGATAATGTGTGAGTGTGGTGAAAGTGTTGAATGATGATGAAAGTATTTTCATTTTGGGGATTTTTCTTTCTTTTTGGGTCACCCTGCCTCGGTGGGAGACGGCCGACTTGTTAAAAAAAAAAAAAAAATATATATATATATATATATATATATATATATATACATATACATATATATATATATATATATTATATATATATAATATATATTTAATATATATATATATATATATATAATATAGGCTGGAATTGAATGGTTATCACAAAGGTTTATATGATATTTATACCAGGTTCCTTAATATCAATGAGAGAGAGAGTGCAAGGAATTTTACCTGTCCTCCCTTCTTTGGATTGAACCTGTTGGCTTTTTATTACCCTGAGCACTGCATGACCTAGATGAGTTTAGCACTTCCCCTATATGCAATAATTTATTCGAGAAATTCCCTTTTAAGGAGTGTGATTGCCTCAAGCAATATATCCTCAGGAAAATATGTCCAAAGAGCTATTGCTGCACAATGTGTCAATACACCAGCTCAGGCACCAATGGAATTATTCATCAGGTCTATGCTTCCCTAAAACCTAGAACTAGCAAATTTTGCAAGTACTACTGAAATCCTTCAGAGAGGTAGGGGCAAAAGATTTGTTATCAGATATGCTGCCAACTTCCCACAAATGTTTCATAGCAGCGTAGTTAATATCAGCTGAGAATATACAAGTAATTCGTTTCTAACCAATCCTCACATTCACTATTTGCATTCTGAAAGAATTATGTAGGTATTTTTTATTTCTTACCTTATACACTTAATCCACTCTTCCTTTTCATCTGGAGTTGCAGCAGACATGCGATATACAGTGTGCTTGCCTTCTACCACTTTGCCTTCACTGTCTGTCTTGCATGCTTTTATGAAATCAGTTGATGTAGCATACAGCTCAAAGCAATTAGGCTTATTGCGGTCTTGCACTTCACGGACCTGTAACGAGTGCCCTGATGTAGTTTTGTTACAATGCAAAACAAATGCAGAAGAATTTGAACAAGGCAAAGGAACAGTCTACATGTGTAATAATGTTGGTAGAATTACCGACAATATGTAAAGTAAAAGGACACAAGTGCAACTAATGCGACATTTTATTGTGGCAACGTTTCGCTCTCCAGGAGCTTTGTCAAGCCGTTACAAACAGTACATGGACACAGAGGGTATACATAGGCTCAGAGTGAGATGCAATACAAGTGGTAGTAGTAGTAGTAGTAGTAATACAATAGGGTAGAGCAATTAACTCGTACATGAGTAAAAGGATATAAAAGCTATTGATGAAAGTCAAGACACTTGTGCAACATCTGGTTATCTTTATTATAGACGTTTAACGAAACGTCTACAATAAAGATAACCAGATGTTGCACAAGTGTCTTAATTTTCATCAATAGCTTTTATATCCTTTTACTCATGTACGAGTTAATTGCTCTACCCTATTGTATTACTACTACCACTAGTAATGCATCTCACTCTGAGTCTATATATACCCTCTGTGTCCATGTACTGTTTGTAACGGCTTGACAAAGCTCCTGGAGAGCGAAACGTTGCCACAATAAAATGTCACATTAGTTGCACTTGTGTCCTTTTACTTTACAATCTACATGTGATAAAGCATACAGTACATTACGTTCAGTTCATAAATGAATTAGACTAAATACAGGAATATTTCTATAAACTACCACACTAATAAAATATGTATACCACTTTATATCTTGGCTGCTTAAGATCTTTTGAGAAGCCTTTGTAGACCTGGTCAAGGACTGGGCCTTGGGGGCACTGACCCCAGGGCTTGGACCTGTGCTACTGCTTATATACTGTACCTAAATGACCTGCCAGAGGAAACTAACCTATGTATCACTGTTTGCAGCCTCTCCTCACTTAATGATGGAGTTCTGTTCCTGAGATCACACCGGTAAACAAATTCATCGCTAAGCAAGGAACATACTATAATGGTAGTGGGTTTGTGTCAACCATCTTCGATACTATTTTCAGTATATTTTTATATGTTTATACAGAAGTGTAGTGTATATTGTAATAAACAGAATAGAGGAAACCAGCTCTAATATACATTATTTAGGTATGCATACTGTTCAGAGAATCTGTCATAAGTCCGAGTCATCAGTAAATGAGTATTCGCTAAGTGGGAGAGGCTTTTTACTGAAAAATAAAAATTTGGGGAAAAAAA